ACTGTTAGGAATGTATATGTCATAAACCGACCCACAATACGTACCGCTGAATTGTTAATCCTGGAAACACGACGATTTCACTGTGAAAGATACATGACACATTCAAAGTGTTATTTTGGCGGCTGTAGTGGATAGAACGTCTGCCCGGATAAAGCAGAAGGTCGGTGGTTCCATCTTCCATCATACCAAAACACGTAAAAAAGATGGTATATAGAGTTTCTCCACATTCCCGATGGTTAATTCTTACTCGATCGCCGAATGACAATGTCATATTTGTTTATAAACAGTGAAAGTAGTCCCTACTTGACCTTTGATATTTGCATCTCTATCCGCATATGACCCCAACGGATATCGTTTTTATCCGTTGGCTTTATCCTGCCGAGAAGCCCACCCATTATATATGGTACTTGGTATTACCCTGCCTGACGCTTGGCATTTTAAAGGGGTAAAACAAGGACTGGTCGGCTCGGACGTACACAGCGGCATAGTAACTCAGAGGGCTAGGTCTATAAACCGGCATTAGTCCGGACTAGTACAAACAGTCACACACACGCACACGCACACGCACACGCACACGCGCGCACACACAAGCGCGTGAATGCCCCTCAACATATCAGTGCAATAATAATCATGACGGGGCTAAAGGACGAACCTTCCTCCATCCGGGGAATCGTACCAACTGTATGGCATGGTGAGCCAAGGCTTTAACCACAGGGAAATGCAGTACGGTGCATGAATATTTTCAAGGCCCCCATGCACAAAGCGATCTTAGCGCTAAGATGATCGTAACTCCCATTCTTTAACATAGGCTTACAATATTTGTAGGGCTAAGATCGCTTTGTGCAAATGGGCCCAGGTCCAGGTTTTCCATGGAGAACGACGTGAACATCTCCAATCTGTTTGTAATCTTTCTGGATGCGGTGTTTCTCACAATGTTCCTACATGTCCTACAAGAACATAATTTAATTCTCAGTGTTTATTATTCTGTAGAGATCCACTATGAGAAGGCGCTCCCTAAGGGCAAGTGGATGGAGTACAGGCAAAGACAGTACGTGGCCAACCCTAAATATGGGCATCTGTACGAAGTCAGGTAGGTTTCCCTAAAGGATTAACCTTTTCATATGCTTGGATTGGTGAGAGTACACGGTTGGGTGGGGTGGGGTGGGGTGGGGTGGGGTGGGGTGGGGTGGGGTGGGGTGGGGTTGGGGATGAGTGTTTAAGACAATAATATAAAAAAAAATAATAATAATTTAGACATGCCGGATGTTTCTTGTTTTTTCTTCAGAACATTTGTTCCTTTAACAAACAAAAAAGTACGTATTACAAGGGAGTGACCGACAAAATATTCTGTCTCTAACAAAATCTGTGCAGATCTCTTAAAACAGAGTAAGTGAGTGAGTATGTTCCTACGCAGCTTTTAGAAATATTCCAGCAATATCACCTGGGGACACCAGAAATGGGCTTCACACATTGTACCCATGTGAGAATCGAACCCGGGTCTTCGGCGTGACGAGATTTGTATTTTATACTAATTTCTCAGTGGCATCTCTTAGTTCAGCCTCTTTTACCTTTTTTAACCTACCCCCTCCCCTCTTAGAACAGAGGCCGGGTTGCTGACGTGAGTCAGTTGGGGTCGTTATCTCTGTCGTAATACGGCGCCGTGGTTGCTATGACTCGTCGTTACATAACCTTTCAATCAACAGTCAGTATATGGATCTAAGATGGAGAAATACTCACACATCCACTTTAACAATGTCCCCATGATTAACAAACCCTTAATTAGCTTCATTTGTACGTGGTAGGACCGACCTGACCCCCCGGAGAGAGAGCCCGCCCCCTCCCAGCACGTGGCTGTGGGAGGATGAATACCGTATATGGAGGCTGGAGGAAGCAAGGGAAGGTAACTCCTCCGTGTCTAGGTATGTGTCAAATTAAGAATGTTCTTTTTCAAAACAAAGTAATTATTAACGTTTTGGTTGGTGAAAACAACGGTTTTATTACGCACATGCTGATTTAAAATTTGGAAAAACTATTTGTATTTCTGTTCTTCACGTTCAACGTGTAACGCACGACAGAGATTTTGACGTAACTCAAAATTCATTTTTGTTTCAAATTCAGCCATTCTTCCTCTAGATTAAAACGGTAGGAAGAAGAAGTGGAAATATCTTGTTATTTTTGGTATTAAAAAAATACGACAAATCAAGATTAAAGTGTGAAATTTTCGATTTCTTTTACCATTGTCCAGCTCTCTATCCAAGATAGGCAGTATGACGTCACGGAAAGGGAAGAAGAACGACAAAGAGAAACCGCACGCTGATCTGTTCGCGTAAGTCGACATTCCTATGTTGTGTTGGAACAGTGTATGTCCTGTCCATCCTGGGAATAATGATTCATGATAATAATAAGCATATTAATAATGCGCCAAACCCACAACCTAAAGCATGTTTAAAGCGCTGCATTATTAAACCGGTCAATGGATCAGTGTGCGCTCGATTTCCATTCTCAGCTCCCTGGGGAGTATACAACACAAGCTGCCCGTAATACCACACTTTATTAATATCGAACAAAGGGTTTCATTTATCATTCACTTGTTACTTTGTGAGTACGGCTGCATTGAAAGATACGTATGGTACGCACCAGGCTACGATACGTATTGGTTTTAACATGATTGGATTTGTCATGTAAATATGCGCGTTGTTAAAGTAAAAGTTTAAACCCATTTCCTTGCATGTAAACATATTTAAACTCTACATCATGTAACTTTGACAGCTACAATATATCTTTAAGTGTCACTTTAGAAGCTGTCATATCAATTAGGCCAGAGGTGACATAGATTTCAACTATCGTATTCTTTCAATGCGACTTTTACTATGCTTGTTGTAAAGATATTAATGTCAACGATTACACGTTCCTGTCGTGAAATTGTTCCTTTGTACCATATGTGGGGAAAGTAGTCCCATGATTTTTACTTTGTCTAGGAAATATTTTCCACGATACACTTACTCTGGCAATATTTGTGGGACTGATCGTTGTTGACAAAAACACCGGTCCGAAACGTCTAATGTGCCTCTCTCCATCGTATATGTCTATTGTGTCTCTGTCTGTCGTGTTTGTCTATTGTGTCTCTGTCTATTGTATATGTCTATTGTGTCTCTGTCTATCGTATATGTCTATTGTGTCTCTGTCTATCGTATATGTCTATTGTGTCTCTGTCGTGTTTTCTTTTGTGTCTATGTCTATCGTATAGGTCTATTGTGTCTCTGTCTATCGTATATGTCTATTGTGTCTCTGTCGTGTTTTCTTTTGTGTCTATGTCTATCGTATAGGTCTATTGTGTCTCTGTCTGTCGTATATGTCTATTGTGTCTCTGTCGTGTTTTCTTTTGTGTCTATGTCTATCGCATAGGTCTATTGTGTCTCTGTCTGTCGTATATGTCTATTGTGTCTCTGTCTACCGTATATGCTATTGTGTCCATGTCTATCGTACAGGTCTATTTTGTCTCTGTCTATTGTATCTGTGTGCATTGTGTCTCTGTCAACGCTATCTGTCTCTGTTTATTGATTTGCTGTGGTTGACATCACCTTCGATGTCGTTGCAGCCAATACCACGCCTACCGTCTGGACAAACAACGTCGCCAGTACGCCGCCACCAACATCCAGCGTTACGTCAAGGGATGGCTGGTCAGACATAAGGTTAAGAAACTGAAGAGAAACGTGAGTTGCCATGACAACATAACTCATAATAGTTCAGGTGCAGACGTGACAGAAACGTGAAGCTAGCATCAACATCGCTGGGTTCGAACCCAGTTTTGCCTTGTTTATGTGTCTATGTTTGTGCCGCTTCTAGTGTCGTCGCTAAAAACAGCCTAAACCCATAATCACTCATCAGCAAAAGAACGGACACGGCTTCAAATATCCCTGCTCGGATTCCGAAAGATCCCAAAAGAAAAGACTGGTTTAGGGCTCGGATGGTTTGTAATTTAACGCCTCACTAATATTCCAGCAATATGACAACAGCCTGGAAATAATCTATTCTGGGCACACACACCAGTGGTTAATATTATGAGCAACATACAATCAACCGGGGGCACGGGTGGCCCAGTCGTCTAAGGCGCCGCGATTCGCTGTGCAGAGTTGCGTCCCTTGGGCACGCCAGAAACCTATGATTGTGGGTTCGAATCCCGGTTCGCCCCGATTATGTTTCTAGGTTTGTCAGCACCATACCCGTGCTCGTGGGTTTCACCGAAGTGGTAAACGTCTGAGACCTGCATCACTTCGGGCTTTCCTCCCACATTAAGCTGACACGCCGCGATATAACTGGAATACTGTTAAAAGCGGCGTTAAACCCAACTCACTCACTCACTCACTCACTACAATCAACCATGTCAGAGTGTGTGACCACCCGATCCACTAAGTCGCTTCTTACGACCAACATGGGTTGCTGGAGCCTGTTATAAACCCGACTCCCCTTCGGTTGTTACGTTAAAGATAAAACACGACTCCGAGGTTTTGGTCGAAAATGTAAAACACGACTCCGAGGTTTTGGTCGAAAATGTAAAACCGCGAGCAAAGGAAAACCCGAGGGTCGTCAAAATGTTAGAAATACCAGAACAAAATATGGAAACATCGAGATACCTTATAGTGAAACAATACAGTGTTTCGCGATATAAAAGGAAATCGATCGAGGCGTGCGAGAGAAAGACCACATGCAGCATGCACACAGCTGAAGTCATGACATGTAAAATTGAACAACCTTTCATCACCTGTCCCGGTTGCTAAGTGTGAAAACAGTGGATTACAAAACTTTGCAGGTTCGATTCACACCATGGAATCTTCATGTGAAAATACTTGTGACATTATATTTATATCAAAAGGCCAGTATTTAAAAATTCAATTGTAAAACCTAGGTCATACAATTCAAACGAAAACTTCAAAGCAGGTTTATAAAACCTAGATCTTGAATTTAGTTGATCTCACAAGGTTACTAAGAGATGAGATACCTACAGCATATAGGCAAAGTGGCATTCAGTAGGTTTATAAAATTGGGACCAGACAGAATATGTGTCCTGCCACAAGAGCGTGGATCATCGGTCTCATTACCAGCACTTGTTTGCCTGGGCCCACTTGCACAAAGCGATCTTAGCGCTAAGATGATCGTAACTCCCATACTTTAACATAGGCTTACAATAGTCAAAGATCGCTTTGTGCAAGTGGGCCCTGGTCCAGACAAGCTAACTTCGATGCCTATTGATACCACAGCAACGTCGTTATATAGATTATAGGAGTTGTTATCCATTTGCTGACAGACTTCTTGTGTTTCCTGGCAGACTTCAGGTTCTTCAAGAACTTGAGATCATCAACCCCTTTCATGAATGGGATGCCATTCCGGTGATTTTCCCTGCTTGTGATTGGTGTGGGTCTCGGACTTTGCCATCATTCTGTGTGTGTTGACTAGTTTGCCGAAATTGTGTCTGTGTATATGTCATGAGTGGTTGTTGACTGCAAGGTCAATGAAACATCAACACGATGAAAGTGACAAATAAGATGAAACTAAGTTGTTATCCAGACGTTGTTATATTAGACATAATTATTGCTATCAAATTATTAATTACATCTAAGTTAACAGTGGACACTGTGGCCCGAAACGAACAGTCTGACACCTCATTATACACTAATTATAGAAATTCTACGAAGTCTTACAGTAATATGCCGGGTGGCTGTTGGGTGTTTCTGAAATATTTACACAAATTACAATTGATTGACTTATTGGCATTCAGAAGTACCCCCGATAAAATTAATACGAGGAATTGAAACAGAAAACGACTGACTGGTGTTGACAGTTGTATATGGCGCTGTTACCATGACAACCGCCTTACAAGTACAGACACATTCCCGACAGTCACCTCTATCCGTCCCGGGTCACATGACCCATCGCCTACAACAGTACGATTTCCTGTCGACGTCAGCGTTAGACTTATAAAACTTATTTTCTGTATATCCCATTGGAATTATTTATACATGATCAATACATGGCCAACCTCTGTGTCTTTCCATTGTCGTGCAGTCCTGCTTGACTTGCGGCGTGGAACATGTGAGTTAGATCAGAGACCATATACCGTTGGTTAGATTGATAAGCACAATAGTATGCAAATGCGTTTTGATACCGCTGGGAAAAAAATATTTTGTCGATAAATAAACCATTCCTGTCAACCCAAGCGCATCCTTCTGCGACTTGAGTAATTGTTCTGTTACGGAACTCTTCTGTCGTCATCCCCGCGGGAGAAGATTATAAAAAATATTCAGCGTTTATGTAATGCTTTCTCGTAATTACGTTACGAAACGTTTGTTGGAAGAAGCATCACGTTGTTTACGTCGCGGTTGTCAACACGCCATTCAAATAATAAGTGTCATCAGTTTCCGTCGTGTATGATTTTATATTCTGTCAAGACTAACTGTATTTCGTAATTTTCACAAATCATCTTTATCAATATGGCAAGATGCAGGGGGCATACACACTCAACATAAATATTTTCTTGAAACAAAATCTTGAACTAAATTCATCACAGAAATACAAACGACTAAGTTAAGATAGACATTTTCAGCCATATACAAAGAAATAAAGTTCAAAATTTGTATTTGCAGAAATATGACCGATCCTACTGTGTAAGTTAAAGTTCTGATCTTGAATCCCCTTAAAAGATGGTTTTGCTTGAACCGTAGGGTGTAACATGTCGACTCAAACGGGGATCGGATGGATACAATGGCTGTTGAGTATCAAACGCTCTTGCATGCTGACCACTAGATAAGACCTCTTATTAGACGTTATTAGGACCCGTGAGGATCCAGGGTAGAATAAGTATTCAGCAACCCATGCTTACGACTACGCTTGCCGTAAGAGGCGACTAACGGGATCGGGTGGTCAAGCTCGCTGACATGGTTGGTGCATTTCATTGTATCCAAATGCGTGGATCGATGCTCATGATGTCAATCACTGGATTATCTGGTCCAGACTCGATTGTTTATTCATATAGCTGGATTATTGTTGAGTTCGACGTTGAACAACAAACAAACAAAAGACGTTATCTGGCTAATTGTGTGGTATTATTACCTATCTCATCGATCACTGGATTGTCTGGTCCAGACTCGAAGTTGCAGTCTGGGCGTCTCTGTGACATACTTTGTATGAGAAGATGCTCATAAGATCAAGTTGACCACCCGATCATGTTAGTCGCGTCTTGCAACAAGCCTGGGTTACTGCTGAGCAATTCTAACCCAGATCTTCATTAAGTGAAAATGGCCTAACCATCTCAATGATAAGGACATTTGTCCCCAGTTCTCTTTAAAATCTATGCAACAGCACTTCAATTAAGGAAATAATCAATAAAATCTATTTATTAGTCACAGTGTGTATTGTACTCGATATAAATTCAAGTACACGATGCGGGTTACCTTTCTTGTATAGACGGAACAAAATCGATGAACGACTGAGCGTCTTTATAGCAAAACTGTGTTTTTTGTTTCACGGCCTAGGGACGTGACAATAGGAGCATCAATGACATCGTGCTTCGCTGGTCACGTTAGTCAGAGTGATATTGAAGTAGTGTGTGAATAATTCAGGGAAGGCTTCAAGAAAGAATTATTTGATTTCGTTTATACAATCATAGCGTGTAATGAACACATTCCATAATGGTTGCTGGAAGAATTATTCAAAATATTTTTATTCTATGAAAAACGTGGAATGATGTTTTTTTAATTATTCATCAACTCCAGGAAATAGGACAGGAGACGTCGCCTGCAACGTAGGTGTCGTTGTGCTTCATGAATACACGAGCCACAGGAGTTTCTTCGTGTCAACATTTCAGTCAGTTAGACATTGCTACTCAAGGGATGACTCAGACTGAGGCTGTCTGTCGGTCTGTCTGTGTGTCTGCATGCATGCATACCCCACTGTGTCCTCCACAGAAACAACATGCTGTCAATAATGTGTCATGTCACACAAGTTTTAAGTTGTAAGGTGTCATGTCCCACGCAATATGTCAATAAAGAGTCATGTCCCTCGCAATATGTCAGTAAGGCGTCATGACCTACGCAATATGTCAATAAGGAGTCATGTCCCTCGCAACATGTCAGTAAGGCGTCATGTCCAACGCAATATGTCAGTAGGGAGTCATGTCCCACGCATAATGTCAGTAAGGCGTCATGTCCAACGCAATGTCAGTAGGGAGTCATGTCCCACGCAATATGTCAATAAGGAGTCATGTCCCTCGCAACATGTCAGTAAGGCGTCATGTCCAACGCAATATGTCAGTAGGGAGTCATGTCCCACGCAATATGTCAGTAAAGGGTCATGTCCCTCGCAATATGTCAGGAAGGCGTCATGTCCCACGCAATATGTCAGCAAGGCGTCATGTCCCACGCAGTATGTCACTTAGGCGTCATGTCCCTCGCAACATGTCAGTAAGGCGTCATGTCCAACGCAATATGTCAGTAGGGAGTCATGTCCCACGCAATATGTCAGTAAAGGGTCATGTCCCTCGCAATATGTCAGTAAGGCGTCATGACCTACGCAATATGTCAGTAAGGCGTCATGACCTATGCAATATGTCAGTAAGGCGTCATGTCCCACGCAATATGTCAGTAAGGCGTCATGTCCCACGCAATATGTCAGTAAGGCGTCATGTCCCACGCAGTATGTCAGTATGGCGTCATGTCCCTCGCAATATGTCAGTAAGGCGTCATGTCCCACGCAATATGTCAGGAAGGCGTCATGTCCCACGCAATATGTCAGGAAGGCGTCATGTCCCACGCAATATGTCAGCAAGGCGTCATGTCCCACGCAGTATGTCACTTAGGCGTCATGTCCCTCGCAATATGTCAGTAAGGCGTCATGTCCCACGCAATATGTCAGGAAGGCGTCATGTCCCACGCAGTATGTCAGTATGGCGTCATGTCCCTCGCAATATGTCAGTAAGGCGTCATGTCCCACGCAATATGTCAGTAAGGCGTCATGTCCCACGCAATATGTCAGGAAGGCGTCATGTCCCACGCAATATGTCAGCAAGGCGTCATGTCCCTCGCAGTATGTCAGTAAGGCGTCATGTCCCTCGCAATATGTCAACAAGGCGCCATGTCCCTCGCAATATGTCAGTTAGGCGTCATGTCCCTCGTTATATGTCAGTAAGGCGTCATGCCCCACGCACTGGGTACTGGATTTAAGATCATGTGTCATATATGATGTTATGTGTCATATAATAGGTAATGTGTCAAGCGTCATATAAGATGCCATGCGTCATGTGAGATGTCATGCATCATATAAGAAGTGTTGTCATGTGAGATGGCACGTATCACATAAGATGCCATTGGTCACGATAGATGGTATGCGTCATGTGAAATGCCATGCATCATACAAGATGACATGCGCCATATAAGAAGTAATGTTATGTGAGATGTCGTGCGTCATGTGAGATATGCGTCATTTGAGGTGTCAGGCGTCGTGTGAGATGACAAACGTCAGGTAGCTTATTGACATTTATATTTCTATCCACATCATTTGTAGGCTCTTCTCGGACTAAGCCGAGCATGGCCGAAGTTTACCGACGAATACAAGGAGACAGTGACCCGGATACAGGCCCGATACGGCGTCATGAGGACGTACTGCCACTTTGACCTCGACCAGGTCGCAGATTTCATCGACAGGAGAGAACGTACGTATTAACATCTGATCAGGGAAAAGTAGTTCAAAGTTAACATATCGTTTCAACAAAATCAGTAAACGCGCTGTCGGGTTTCTGGATTGTCTGGTCTCGACTCGCTATCACTGGATTGTCTGGTCCAGACTCGCTAGTACTGGATTGTCTGGTCCAGACTCGCTATCACTGGATTGTCTGGTCTAGACTCGCTATCACTGGATTGTCTGGTCCAGACTCGCTGTCACTGGATTGTCTGGTCCAGACTCGCTAGTACTGGATTGTCTGGTCCAGATTCGCTAGCACTGGATTGTCTGGTCCAGACTCGCTAGTATCGGATGCCATACACTTGATGTTACGTAGCATAAACCCGTGAAGATCCGAGTTAGAATTGGCCTTAAACAATCCTTGCTTGTCGGAAAAGACGACTAACAGGATCGGGTCTCATAATGTCAGTCACAAGATGGTCGATTATTTACAGACCGCCGTCATATAGCTGCAATATTGCAGAGTACAGCACTGAACTACAAACAACAATCAAACAAACAAAACAACAACAAACGTAGTATACAAGCCATGACCATGTTTCATTCGCTTACTTCTTAGGAATGTGTATGGTGATAAACATCTTCATCGCCGTTGGGTCGCTATATAAGTGCAATAATCTTGGACGCGACGTTAAACCCAATTTCACCTCACCTCATCGCCGTTGTCATTTATACTTTCAGATCTATACTTTTTATATGCATTCATGATGACAGTAAATATTTCAATAAAACAAAATCTGCCCTGCCAATCACGTACTCATGACTTAGTCCTAAACACCATGCATGTCTGTTAAGGTTATGAACGGGTGTTTGACCGCATGGTGGACAGACGGATTGAAAAAATGCCACGTGACGACCTTCCCGAGTTCTTCCGAGCGTGTGGCCTTCACCCCACGGAAGGGGAGATAAACGCTGCCTTCAACACTATCTTCCGAGGTAAATACATAACATGCTACAGGACACCTGCCGGCTTGGCGTCACAAACACAGTCTACTATAACAGATTCCTGGACATATTTTAATCACTTTAGTCAAAATCCGAAATTCGAGAAACAAATGCCATTGCTGGTGGGATGGTTTAACGTCAGTGTTGGCAGTATTTTAGTTGGGATTTTATCGGGAAAACAAATGTCGACAAACATTCTTGCAAAACATAATTATGCTTCATTTGTTTGAAAAAAAATCGTCTGCACCAAAATTACATTGTTGCAATGTGTTTTTAAGAAAGAAATGTTTTGGATTAGGATCATAGGATTAATTTAAAAAATATCTGGTTTTGCAGCTGTAGAAATAGAAACACCCCAAAAGCTCAACTCGGCCAATGAAGTCTATTTTTTTCTATTTCTCTGATACCCCAAAGATTATAATAGTGAGTGAGTTGGGTTTAACGCCGCTTTTAACAGTATTCCAGTTATATCACGGCGTGTCAGCTTAATGTGGGAGGAAAGCCCGAAGTGATGCAGGTCTCAGACGTTTACCACTTCGGTGAAACCCACCCCACGAGCACGGGTATGGTGCTGACAAACCTAGAAACATAATTGGGGCGAACCGGGATTCGAACCCACAATCATAGGTTTTTGGCGTGCCCAAGGGACGTAACTCTGCACAGCGAATCGTGGCGCTTTAGACGACTGGGCCACCTGAATGAATGCGTTGACCTCGGGGCTACCCCACACCAGTGTATTGTTGAGTTGAGATCAGGTAGCCCAGCGGTTAAGGTGTTCGCGCATCACGTCGAAACACTGGGTCGATTCCAGATTTGTACCTAAGACGACTGGGCCACCCGTGCCCCCCAAAGATAATAATTGGGCTGCGGGGTAGCCTAGTGCTTAAAGCGTAAGCCCATTTCTTGTGCACCCCGCCGTGGTATTGCTGGAATATTTTAGTAGCATCGTAAAACAATACTCACTCAAGAACCAACATGTTCAAAACCATCATGAAAAACAGGCGTAGTAGCCTTGTGGTTAAAGCGTTCGCTCGTCACGCCGAAGACCCGGGTTCGATTCCCGACATGGGTGCAATGTGTGAAGCCCATTTCTGATGTCCCCTGCCGTGATATTACTGGAATATTGCTTTTAAAAAAAGCGGAGTAAAACCTTATTCACTCACTCACTCTGTACAAGATAGAACGGATCTGATTTAGTCTTTGGATGACGTCCAGAATGATTCGTAACAAATGCTCCATATTACAGCTGCTAACGACGTTTCTTAATGTACATGCAGATTGATAGTCACTCAGTGTGACTTTCACTTGTACATGCCGTGCAGCCGTTGTCATATTTCCATAAAATGATTGTATTTTTTTTTTCTTTCATTTAAAATGTTCATGCCTACTTTGTGCTTAGGAAAAATGGTTTTAACGATTTCGTGGGAAGTCGCGTGCCGTCAAAGCATGTTTGAAGCAAAGATATTGGCATTTCATGTACAAAAAACACCGATCGATTGATGTTCAATATAGGATCATGTATGTGTTCAAATGGAATCAATATTCCCCAACGTATCGATTACACTGATAACGTGCACTTAGGAATTTTCATTTTTCATTCCACGATTATAAGATTATAACATGCGCGTTCATCGATGTTGAAGGAACAATGGTGGCGATCGGTGATATTCTCACATTACGTAAGGGATTTTGCGTCCTGGTTTGAAGACAACGGGCGTGTGTTCGTTTCGTCATAGTTACATGCATTAGCTTTCTATATATCCGATCGGGGCGGTCGGGTAGCCTAGTGGCTAAGCGTTCGCTCGTCATGCCGAAGACCCGGTTTCGATACCCGACATTTATACAATGTGTGAAGCTCATTTCTGATATCCACCGCTGTGGTTTTGCTGGAAAATTGCTAACAGCGGCGTAAAACAATACTCAATCACTCAATCACTATATATCCGATCACCACCTATACATGTCTACACGTGTTCCATGGTTTCACCAAAATGGTAAACGTCTGAGACCTGCATCACTTCGGGCTTGCCTCCAATAATAAGCTGACACGCCGTGATATAACTGGAATACTGTTCAAAGCGGCGTTAAACCCAAGTCACTCACCCACAATAAATATTCCGAGAGAATTAATGGTTAGGATGCCCGGAATCCGGGGCTGTCTGGCACTCCATGCATGTCGAAAGAGTCGACTTCAATGAGGGCTGTGGGATACCCTAGTGGTTAAAGAGTTCAGTCGTCACGCCAAAGGCCCGGGTTCGATTCCACACATGGGTAGAATGGGTGTAGCCCATTTCTGGTGTCCCGAACGGGATATTTCTGAAATATTGCTAAACGCGGCGTAAAACCATCTTCACTTAATAAGGATCTGGTGGTCGTAATGTGTGACTTGGTCGTGTGGCATCGCACACCGACAGCATGGAACGTTCATCATGCTGTCAACAACTGGTTGGCCTGAGCCAATTAATTACGAGGGTTAATTGATAAGTTCTAAGTCTCACACAAAAGGAATTGGATAATAGTGAAATATTTTGTTGTGAGTGAGTGAGTAGGGGCAGGGCAGGGAGCAGGGATTTCGTATTTATCTACAGCTGCAAAAGCAGATATTTATAAAGTTGAAACCTGAGCCTGAATATGTTTGTATACAACACCTAGCAAAAATGAATTTTTGTTTTACGCCGCGTTTACCAATATTCCAACAATATCACGGCGGGGGACAACAGAAATGGGCTTCACACATTGTAAAAAGTTTTTTGAGAAAATTGTTGCGCTGTGACAAGTGAGTGAAATAAGCAGGCGTCTGTGACCTTTGAAAAATCGACAAACTTGAGGAACGTGCAGTTGAGTCAGTTATGTGACGTAACTGACATATATATCTGACTGTGCATAACCATTGTAATATTGTTATTTATTGCTTTGTAATTTTTATAAATTATAAACTCTTAAGTGACCGTCGGTGGCAATTTGAGAATATATAATTGAATTTATTTTCGCAAAAGGTGCGGGTAACACGGCGGAAGTGGTGTTTGTGCTGGACTGCTCGGCCAGCCTCGGTCCCGTCAACTTCAAGTGTCAGCTCAACTTCCTGAAGGATGTCATCCAGGACCTTGACGTGGCCTCGGACCGGATCAGGGTCGGTCTGGTACCCTATACTGAAAGTGTCTTCGAATCATTCGGCCTCACCCGTTTCGAAAACAAAAAAGACATTCTGGAAAGAATAGGTAAGGTTGAGGCTAATATAAGAAGACAGAAAACTCGTTATTGGTCAGTTAATAAAAATGCATACCCCCTATATGTAAGTACTTATATATAGGGGGTATATATTTATATTTACTGACCAATAACGAGTTCCTGTGTATAAGAACACCAAGAAGTTTAGTCTTCTGTATTCATGCATACACTGAGAGAGGGTGCGTCCCCTATACACTTTGGAAATTCTTGATCTCCTCTGCTTCTGGAGTTTTCCGATCTTGTCGATCGTCAGGATCATCTGGATCTGGCTTCAGGAGCATATGTTCATAAGATTTTTGGGCTGGTTGAAATATATATAGTACCGCCATATTCTTGCATGACCTGAGGTATATGAATGTTGTTAGTGTTTGTTAGACGGACAGACTACGTTGTTTTATAATCAAATGGGATTTATCGAAAAAATAACTTGTCCCAGAAAATGCTCGAAACTTTAAATCTATGCTTCGGCGGATAGCCTAGTGGTTAAGGCGTTCGCTTATCACGCCGAAGACCCGGGTTTGATTCCCCATGGACACAATGTGTTAACCCCATTTCTGGGGTCTGGTGAAATTGCTCGAATATTGCTAAACGCGGCGTAAAACCATACTCACTTACTCAAACCTTTGAGAGAGATGACTGGCACAAAAATACATTTTTGCTGGGTGTTATATACAAACATGTTCAAGCTCATAGTTTCAACTTTAAAGATATATGCTTTTGCAGCTGTAGCGACATACAAAATCCCTGCCCCCCTCCCCCGAGAATGCCAGATGGTCGTCCCTTATACATTTGACAATGATAGTTTCTTAACTGCAGCATGTTGTTTGTCCCCAGATCAAATCAAGTTCAAGAGTGGACTGACCCGGACTGACCTCGCCCTGAAGATGATGAGGGAGTTGTTTCAGGTGCGCATGCCAGCTGTCACTGCTATACCGGTGACACTTTCACAGATCTGTGACTGTTGGGTAACGCTTGGTGGCTTACCATTCTCTCTGTGATCAAGACGGAGGGCATACATCCATCTGTAGCATATTCCCGTGGAGATCCGGGTCTTCAGCAATCTATGCTTGTCGTAAGAGGCGACTGACTAACGGGATCGGGTGTTCATGATGTCAATCACTGGATTGTCTAATCAAAACTCAATTATTTACAGATTGCCGTCATATAGCTGGAATATTGCTGAGTGCGGCGTTAAACAACAGACAATCAAACTCTCAGCTAGAAGTTACTCAACACTTCTCAGCGTAACTCTCAGCTAAGAAAAAAGCGAGATGTTTAAAATGATAACCCAATAGGAACATCAACTTGCATTGGACCCTTAACGACATTAGGTTAGTGAGGTCATAGTAGCATGTGTGAAAATAAAGCACTCTGGCCTCTGAACTCTGAGATTATGGAAAGGGTTTTGTCGCTTTAAACACAATCAAACTGTATGATATACCTGATATAAAGAATTTAAACTTCGTTCCGCTGAAACTATTTCGCTTTGGAAGTGTTTACATAGATGTAAGGCTGATCTTAATAAAAGACCGTGTGGTAGAGCGTCCGCCCGGAGAGCGAAGGTTGGTGGTTCGATCCCGGCCACGTCATACCAAAAGACTTAAAAGATGGTTACCCTGTCCTACTTTAAAGCTATTACTCTAAAAGCAAGTCTAGATTTTCCACAAGTTCTGAATTTCCAATCTCACTGAGGCTCCTTTCCAATTTAAATGTAGTTGCTTTTTTCTATCAAAAATATTTTTTTCAGAAACTAAGGGTAACTCGAGGAAAAACACTTCTATCTATCACAGATGTATCGCACATTCAGTTTGCACACATAAAGTTTGACATATATTCAAAGCACATGATGAGAAATTACTTCAATATGCTTTGCGTTTACGTGCAAACTTTGGAAATTCGTGTGTGTAAATTAGTACGTTATCATAATGCAAGCACAAACCCCGCCCATGCTAATTTCAGCCAATGAGGAAACAAGAGTCCGCTAGTGGGCGTGGCCTATTTTTAGCTTCATGGAAAGAAACGCAAAACATATTTTGCTTGGTTAGCTAATCAAATGCCAAGGAATCGTTTGCAATATATTTACTACCCAATACACTAAATTTACTGGTATCAAATATGTCACGGGCAACGGGCCTTTTCATACAAACGAAATACAATTAAGGTGCAAACAACACCGAATACAACTTTTTTCCAATTTTTTTTAGTAATAGCAGTTTTAACATATTTGTCAGTTATCAAAGTTGGAGTGAGTTGGGTTTAACGCCGCTTTTAACATTATTCCAGTTATATCACGGCGTATCAGCTTAATGTGGGAGGAAAGCCCGAAGTGATGCAGGTTTCAGACGTTTACCACTTCGGTGAAACCCACGAGCACGGGTATGGTGCTGACAAACCTAAAAACATAATCGGGGCGAACCGGGATTCGAACCCATAATCAAAGGTTTCTGGCATTCCAAAGGGACGTAACTCTGCACAGCGAATCGCGGCGCCTTAGACGACTGGACGACCCATGCCCCCTCAAGAATTGGAGTATTTGTGTTTTTTCTGCATTGGCATAAAACAAGTACTTTGCCGTATTTATATTGATAATTGACTCTTGTGATGACAGTAGTGTATTATACTTCAGAATATTTGGAAAGATGTAAAATTTAGGTTTTATACATTTTTCCCTAGGATGGCTATAAGCTGGACAAATTTACAAAAAGTGATATTCATTTTCGATATGTATTAAGTTACAAACTTTAAATATATGGTTTTATGACATGTTTGAAAGAGCCAGACATCAAATATGTCAACATCACTTGAAGGCTGAGGACCATCGAATATCTATGTCGAGTTATACGAACTTCGAGAGACGTGGAGTACATGTACTGATTGTTAAACCAATGTTGATAAGGTTTCTGCTTGGATCACAAAGTTACATCGTCTTAATACACATATCGGGTTTCTGAAGATGGAGCTGATGAGGTATCGATGTAGACTTCTATCACGGATACCCAGCGCTAGCTTGACAGTTATATTCAGTGTTTTACCTCTATTCTGTCCCCAGTCCTCCCGTCCGGGGGTGCAGAAGGTGTGCCTCGTGATCACCGACGGCAAGTCACATGACGTGAACCTGACCTTGAGAGAGGCAAGAAAGGCACAGCGAGACAATATAGATATTTATACCATAGGTGAGTGTAACTAGAATCAGTGTCAGTTTGGAAAACACTCAACGGTGGCTGAGAGCTAAGATTCACTCCCTTGGAGTACCGAGACACACAGAAAAGCCACACATTAATTTATTTCAATAATTCTAACTAAACTATATATTTTCCAGATGAACGTTCTCGTATATAAATGACAGCTTGTGATAGTGCACGGAGAATGTCTGGAAATTTGCGTTGAATGATAGACGGTCAGGGGGTATAAATAATTGCCAAGTTTATGGATCCGCCGACCCAAAGTTCAAATATTCAATACAATAAACATTAAAAAACTGTGGTTAGTATGGAAAGGGAGTAAACCACATAAGCTATTAAAAACACTTTATCTTTCCTTCATTTCTTCTTCCCTTCAGCCGACTGATAATACCAACGGAAGAGTATTTACAAACATGTTCTTAAGATACTATACTAAAAAAGTCAATTTCACAACTAAAAATTCCATATACTAACTAGTAGTACTAGTATTTGTGAAAAAAAAGATATAAAATCCAAATGCATTTCTTCCTTGAAAGCGTTTAAAAACAAGGTTAAACGTTAATGGGTGAGTTGGGTTTAACGCTGCTTTGAAAAGTATTCCAGTTATATCGTGTAAGCTTAATGTAGGGGGAAAGCCCGAAGTGATACAGGTCTCAGACATTTACCACTTTGATGAAACCAACGAGAACGTGTATGATGCTGACAAACCTAGAAACATAATCGGGGCGAACCGAGATTCGAACCCACAATCATAGATAGGCTTCAGGCGGGCCCAAGAGACGCAACTCTGCACAGCGAATTGGCTTAACGTTAATTCACTCCATACATATGAATGTGATAACACAACTTTTACTTGCAGGTGTGGGGTATGACGTGGATGTCGAGGAGCTCAAGTCTATAGCATCCTCGGACAAGAACGTGCACACCGTGTCCGACTACATGACTCTGGTCAACCTCAAGGACCTCCTCCAGAAGAGGATCTGTCTAGGTAGGCCACACGGGGATGTCCCTGGCATGTGATTTCATGATGAAGAAAACACGTTATTACGTAATGAGTAAACAGCAAACTTTATTAAATGATGAGATAATATCACATGTTGTATCTTGATGGGAAAATACCACACGTTATCACATCCCATGGAGTGAGTCACTGAGTTGTGTTTAACGCCGCTTTTAACAGTATTCAAGTTATATCACGGCGTGTCAGCTTGATGTGGGAGGAAAGCCCGAAGTGATACAGCTCTCAGATGTTTACCACTTCGGTGAAACCCACGAGCACGGATATATGGTGCTGACAAACCTAGAAACATAATCGGGGCGAACTCATCCCATGAAAATATCACGGTTATTTCATGATGGGGTATACATTACATGTTACTACATGATGGGTAAGTAAGACGCGTTTTTTCATGATGAGGAAATGGAACACATTAGCAGATGGTGGGGAAAGAGCACACGCTATCAAATTCTTTCATGATGGAAAATGATGAATAAAAGCCATAAAGGCCTTTCCATATTCATAAGAAATCTCTGCTAAAGTCGATCGTTCGAGTCCGACTATATAATAAGCAGGCGTTCACGAATCATGGGTAAATAACACGGATTACATCATGGGCAAATAACAAGTTACAACATGGGGAATTAACACACATTTCTGCATCATTAAAGCTTGCTTGTGAGAACATTATAAACACTTACATTGATTCCTGAAAGATCGTTTACAAGATATGGCTAGGTCTGTGAGGAGGACTCACGACGTGACCTACTGGAAGTGTAATTGGAACTGCATGTGAGTGCATCTCTGTCACTACTCGCCCTAGGTTGCTGCACGCTGTGCCAACACGTGTTGCCTAGGATACTGAGCGAGGGCTTCTACCAGTCCGAAGTGATGGACATGCTGTGGACCATCTTTGTCCCTCAAGGCACGGGACTGACCAGGAATGTCTATAAACTAGTTGACCCCTACACTGGTACTGATGTCTGACAATCTATCGTGTTGTCTTCCTCTAGAGCATGTCACTTTATGATTCCGACACCTGTTCCTCTTCCCTGTATCTTGTTCCTGCCCATGTCCTTCTGTCCCGTATCCTTGTTCCTGACATTTCTGCCCCATGTTCTTGTGTCTGTTCCCGGTTATTTTGTTCCTGTCCCTGCTGGTTCTTGTTTCGTAGGGCGGTCGCGTAGCCTAGTGGTTAAAGCGTTCGCTCGTCTCGCCGAAGACCCGGCTTCGATTCCCGACATGGGTACAATGTGTGAAGCTCATTTCTGATGTCCCCCGCCGTGATATTGCTGGAATATTGCTAAACGCGGTGTAAACTCACATATACTTTTGTAATCCCGTCCCTGTATCATTCTCGTTCTTGACTCATGTTCATATCCGGTTTTACTTCTTGTCGGGTGTTCATGTCATTCGATCTTATGTCTTGATCATGTTTTTCGAGTCGATTTTCAAATTGAAACGCAGACGTTAACCCTGAAATCGGTACGCACAGAACTAACTTGCGAAACCAGTAAATTACCACTAACGATCAATAAATGATCTACAAATAATATTTACACATACAGTCTTAGGATTTACAATACCAATAAAATGCAATACAATGTGTCAAATTAGTGGCAGAAGTAATAAGTAAAAGGCCCTAGAATTTAAAAGTGTTGGAACCTGACAGGAACTTGGGTTTCCAAATAGGTAAACAAACTGCACTTGGCAAGTAGATTAGAAACAAGTCGAAACGCCCGATTCTCGGTCTTTTACAGCCAGTATTTTAGAAACTGTCTCCCCAGAATTTTCTAGAAGGATCAAGCCCACCACGTCCATGTGCACACCAAGGACAGATAACTCTAATTCTAGTACAAAAGCATTCTTGAAAGCTTCACCTGCTGCTGTTGTTTCCTGTTCAGAGCTGCCCACGACAGCACTTGATATGTTTTACTAGTAGACAAACTCCCTGCACTCTTAGATCGTTAGTATCACAGCAGTCGCTGAGGTGGGCCAGGATTGTTGTTGAATTTACTAATGCTCAATAAAACCTGATCACAAGTCTGTTTCCCATCTCCGTGCCTGGTGTCTGTGCAATAAACTAGGTGACTGTCTATAAGCAACTGACAGAGGGAACCGGTTCAGTCGCCTGGCAACTCCTTCGTTTCTATTGAGTGAATGAGTATGGTTTTACGCCGCATTTAGCAATATTCCAGTAATATCACGGCGGGGGACACCAGACATGGGCTTCACACTTTCATTTCTGAAGACCTTAAGGTATAGTATTTTCCTTCCCTGAAAGTCAAGGAACCTTTCCCTCGATCCTCGTCTGTTTCCTGTATCCAGCCCTCCTTCTCAAAGCGCATGTCCTTTGATCCAGGGAGTGACCAATCCCCGTCCGACAGGCACGTGCAGCCCGTGCGAGATGCATGCAGACCTCTTGTCCGGGACGAGGCCCTGGAGGTGATATGGAGCTTGTATCCGCCAAAGGCTTCAGACGTGGAGGCTAGGAAGTCTCGCTGGATCCGCCCCGTGGTGCAGGAGACGGAGGCTTGGTCACTCCTTGGTATGTAGTGTGTCGCTCTGTCTCGCCAACAGCAGGGAGACTGTCATTTAAACTGCCGGGGGGAGGGGGGGGGGGGGGGGGGGGGGGGGAGTAATCACCCATGTTTGATGGTGTCTTGAAACGAAACCAACAAGAAATGGTTACTCGATGGTGCTGTATTTGGTATGGCTATCATAATTGTGGTTTAAGCCTTACGTTTGTAGTGTTTCGTCACCTGTTTTCAACCTAGAAACTTTTGGATAAATGTATACCTATTTTGTCCGGCAGTTTAATCTCCCTGTGCATTGTGCAGTCTCACCGGGAATTCATTGTCAAGGATCTGAATCAAATGTGAAATGTAAGGATTAGAGTTTTATAGAGTTTTTCACAACACATATATAGTTTTGTACTGTGTGTGTATGTGGAGGAGGGGGGGGGGGGGGGGGGGGGTAGCTGTTTAATGTGGCTGATTGTGATTGTGCGTGGTCCGTCTCACGACATTTACCTTTCAACAACACGTGTGGCAATGTATTCCCGGTATACAGATTGGTGTTCTAAAGTATTACCGTTCTACTTAGAGACGTTGCTGTTTAATGTCATTCACCCCAACTGTTGTGTGATTTGTGTTAGTTCTTGCATCTCTTATCAATACGTTCTTTGAATAAACTATGTAAATACAAATGTATGTAACAAACTTGCTTCAAATGATAATAATGTAAATTATAACATTAGCTGTAAAAAGGTAAACATTTTTTTCTGGGTTCAACACAGGATCTTAAATTATAACTTACTATGGATTGAAACTGAAGCTGATTAAGATACATGATAACTGCATACCGCCATAGCTTTGTAATACCACAACGACCCTGTTGACCAACCAGTACTACAAATAAACAATAGGTGATGACAAGGGATGTTTAGGAATTAAATGAAATTATATATTTTTCATCCTAGATGACCGTATTTTGACCCAGACGGATTTCCGTACTTGTCTGAAGCTGGTGATAGAGGCGCGTCTGAAGAGGGAGGGCGTGGTCGCCATCCCAAGCAACGTGCGCGCGGGTGTGGAGGAAGTGTCAAACGCCGAGGAAGCCATGGAGAAGATAGAGAAGTACCTGCTGGAGAGGAAGGCTGAGAAGGAGACGAAGGAAATAAAGACGACTCCGCCGCGAGTCGCCGTGTAGTCACATGACAGTGCCTATGCTCTAGGAACCAGTGTTTTCTCCTGTTCATGTACCTGTAGTAACTACAAGCCCATACAGGGAACATGTATCGGAAACATGCTCCCATCACAAAGGTGCCTTACGTTTCATCATCTCAAGAGAGAAAATGTAATTACAGTTATCCGTACTTAAAAACAAATGTTTCTGGCGCTTGCTGTAAGCCGGCATCATCTGAATCGAACCCGGACCTTAGGTGTCACGAAGCAACGCTTTAACCACTAGGCTACCCAACCGCCCCGATTTTTGAAAGAACAGCGTCAAAATAATATAGTAGGGGCAAGGGTGGCCCAGTCGTCTAAAGCGCCGTAATTCGATGTGCAGAGTTGCGTCCCTTGGAACGCCAGAAACCCATGATCGTGGGTTCGAATTCCGGTTCTCCATGCTTGTTTCTTGGTTTGTCAGAACCGAACCCGTTCTGGTGGATTTCACCAAAATTGTAAACGTCTGAGACTTGCATCGCTTCTGGTTTTACTCCCCCACCAAGCTGTCACGCGGTTATATAACGGGAATACTGTTCATTGTGGGTGTTTAACTTGTTTTGAGCAGTATATTGCATGTATATGCGTTACAGCAGGCGGTTCGTCCAAGTTGGTGGAAGCGGATGAAAAATATCAATGATTTTACAAAATGTACATATTCAGTAAACGTTTATGATTGTTTGAAATAACATCTTCTGTCCATAAGTCATTTTAAATCTTTTACGCAAACGCAAATTGTCATCAAGATCTGTGATATTGATAATGGTGGTGTTGTTTATCTGTTGATCTGTTATTGTAAATAACTTGTTGATAAGTGTCGTTTCGTACGTTTTCATATAACATTGATCTATAAATGTCGAGTATGCTTGTAGTTAGAGACGACTAACGGGATCGGGTGGTCAGGCTCGCCGACTTGGTTAATGCATGTCATCGTATCCCAGTTCGATGCTCATGATGTCAATCACTGGATTGTCTGGTCCAGACTCGATTGTTTACAGACCGCTGTCATATAGCTTGAATATTGCTGATTGCGGCGTTAAACAACAAAGAAAAGGAAACATAAGACTGACAGTAGACGACTGCTGTAAAGTGAACATTTGATGGTGAAATCATGCATGTCAGGTCATTGTATGTAGCTCACGCAACCACAACCCCACCTTTCTATTACACTGGGGACCGCTTCGCCAAGCAAACGTAGTGTCACAAATGCTATCACAAGATGCACTGACACACATAGACATCATCTTCCCGAGGCAAGTGAGTTAACTGATTGTAAAAGTCCAGTTTCCACCCTTGCCGAACTGGGCTGGTATTATGGAGTTACATTTTGGCTGGACTAACGAGTCTATGCATAGACCAATCAAAATCGCGCACCGAAATCGAAATCCGGTTCGTAAACTGTCATGCATAGTTCGGTCGACTGCAGGATTTGCAAAGCATGTGCACCGCTAACTCGTTGTCAACAAAATATTTTCTATATCTTTTCATGTTTTTAATCAAGGTGCTCACGTGATTTGATGCACTTCGCGATTTAAGACTCGTTTCATCACAATATAGATCTTGATTATCGATCAGATCGTCTTGACTGGGCGCCACCGTTTTGTTTGAAGCAAATGCTAGTGATACGAGAGGTTGAATCTGATTGGTTAATAGGAGAGGCATAGAAAGGACATTACTCGTAATAGCCACTGGTGGCGCTACGATCGAGCCCAGGAATTCCAGCCTAGTTCGGCAAGGGTGGAAACTGGACTTTTAAAGTCAGTTAACTCTCTTGCCTCGGGAAGATGCACAGACATAGGCAAGTTACAAGAGTAGCGTCAACAACAGAGCCCGTGAATAGGTAGTTGTTGGTCATAAAGGACCATTGGATATTCTGGGGTAGGATGGGGTGGGATATTACCCAGAGATCTTTTATACTTAAAACTGAGCCTAAATAGTTTTGGTGTATTTTTAAATCTTGCAACTATGTATTTTTTGTGGCAGGCAATTTCTTCTTTATTTGCAACAGTCTTCAGCATTATTATATTTTATAAGCATTTTCTGGGACAATTTCTCTTTTTTTCGATAAAATCACAGAATGTCAAATTCCCTAAGGTCTTCAACATAAGTCTTGTCTTCGTTTGTTTTCTCTTTAATTCCTATTAAGGTACTTTTGTGTATAACCTACTCAAAAGAGGTTAATGTCCACCCGATTCCTTCATATTACTACAGTTAATATGTCATGTCATGACGGATTAACTACAATAATGTGAAAAAATGCCATGATAGATTAACGATAGTAATATGAAAGTATCGGGTGGTCCTTAACTTCTTTTGAGTAGTATATCTAGTCGGATACATGAACATGTCGTTTGGATGCGGCAAGTTGGCAATCCTGGTTCAAAACAGTTTAACCTGTGGGTTCTCATGCCGTGATAACGTCAATACATTCATTTTGGCGTATTTTCGTGATGATCTCGAATTCGGGTGCTACTTGTTTTTCGTTTCATTTCTATTTGTTTCCAAGTGCAGTGAATGTTCAGAACATCCATGTGAATAAATCATAAAACATCCGTGTTAGCTTGTACTTCATAGCATGCCATAAAGTCACTGGGAAGCCATCTTGACCACCCGATACCTGTTCTGGGGGCAACTCATGCTATGCATGCGGTATCGGTCTATTCTTCCAGAGGTGAAGGTGAGGTGAAATTGGGTTTAACGTCGCGTCCAAGATTATTGCACTTATATAGCGACGTGCATGCACGTGTGTGTGTGGCTGCTTGTACTAGTCCGGACTGATGCCGATTTGTAGTGCTAGCCCACTGAGATACCATGCCGCAGTTTAACATGAATACCCCTCTCAGACACAGTATACTGACTCCGAGCCGACCAGTCCTTGTTTTAGCCCCTTAATGCCGAGCGCCAGACAGGGTAACAACAAGTACCATCTTTTAACGTCTTTTGTTATGACGCGGCCGGGGATCGAACCCCGGACCTTCCGCTCTCCGGGCGGACGCTCTACCACTAGACCACGGAGGCGGTCTATTCCCGAGATTCCCAATGTTTGTTTGTTTGTTGATTAACGTCACTCATCAATATTCCAGCTATATGACGACGTCCTGCAAATAATCGAGTCCGGACCAGATAATCCAGTGACTGATATTGTGAGCACCCATCCACGACGTCAGTGTACGATGACACACACTCAACCCCATTACCGAGCCTGACCAGTCGATCCATTTAGTCACTATTTTCGACCAAACAATTACAACACGAAATGGGATCCCCCAAACGGAAATACATGAGTAAAACCATGGTTATAGAGACTTATTTGTCCGTTTAAATTTAATGAGGGAGGAAAGCTAATGGTAGAAGACAGTAAGTCTTTGGTGAAATCCACGACTACTTTCTGGTTCTCAGGAAGATGTGGGGCGGTCGGGTAGCCTAGTGGTTAAAGCGTTTGCTCATCACGCCGAAGACCCGGGTTCGATTCCCGACATTGGCACAATGTGTGAAGCCCATTTCTGGTGTCCACCGCCGTGATATTGCTGGAATATTGCTAAAAGCGGCGTAAAACAATACTCACTCACTCACCCACTCACTCAGTAAGATGTCGACCGCAGACCTTTAGATATTTGGTGAAAATAGCAGCCAGGGTACACAATTTTGTGTGTGTGTGTCTGTCTCTGTCTGTCAGTCTGTTTTTACACTGGTCCGGACTAAGGCCACTTTTACAGTGTATTTTTAACAAAAAATACCCCACATAATACGGATTCCGAGCCGACCAGTCCTCGTTTCATCCCCTATTATGCCAAATGCCAGACAGGGTAACACGTACCATTTTTTAATGGCTTTCAGTATGACCGGCAGGAAAAGAAATCACCGACCTTCGGCTCTCCGACACACTCTCTATCCACTAGACCACGGAGCGGTATCCGCTTTGGTGCCACCCACAAGCACGGGTATGGTGCTGACAAACCTGGAAACATAGTCAGGGCAATTCTGTGATCCTAACCCACAATGTGTTTCTGGCACTCCTAAGGGACGCAACTCTGCACGGCGAAATGGGCCCTCTCCGACAACCTGCCCACCAACAGAAGTATATAGATGGGTGTGTTGAAATGACGCATCATGCTTTTATGGACTTAAATTTGTTTATATCTCATCCACATAAACATCACATCATCCTTACATCACAGACCCGTGAAGATCCGGGGTAGAATAGATCTTCAGCAACCCATTCTTGCTGTAAAAGGCGACAATGCTTGTCGTAAGAGGCGACTATGCTTGTCGTAAGAGCGACTAACGGGATCGGGTGGTCATGACTTAGTTGATGCATGTCTTCGTATCCCAAATTGCATGGATCGATGCTCATGATGTCAGTGACTGAATTGTGTGGTCCAGACTCGATTATTTACAGACCGCCGTCATATAGTTGGAATATTGCTGTGTGCGGCGTTAAACAAGAAACAAACAAACAAAACACCTGTTGTTAATTGAAGAATGGTGTGACCTCTCCTGGCGCCTTCATGTGCCATTGCTGCGTGTGATGTCCTCACCACATTACAACGTGCTGCACGTGATGTCCTCACCACATTACCACAGTGTCACTGTAATTGTTTGCATTTTCACAACATGCACTATCTTTCTATGGCTATATACACGTTTATTATGAGCTTTCATAAGTTAATGAGCATAGGAATGATATTGTCAATGAAACTGTCTTCAAATAAAATGGACAAAATAAATTCACATTGTTGACACCCAAACTACTTCAAATAATGAATTGAAAGGTAAAATGCATATTTACAGCTCTGCACAATACCGCATTTGGATGATTGACAATGATGACAATTTTTTACGTTCATGCAATGCAGCATCTTTTTTTTTTCATTCATTTTTTTACGCAAAACAAACTCAACATGCTTAATGGAAATCCACACACATTCTGAGCACTTATAATAATCTATGTTCAAAATGATGGTATCTACAATTGCTGTTAGCACTGGGCCTCCCTGTTTAAAAACGTGATCTTTGATCTATGACTATCAATTTATGGGATTTCGCGACAATCATTGCGTTGCGATCACTTCGTGAAGCGGGCCTTGATCTTGTATCTTCTATCCATGTAGAGCAATGTAGGACTCTAATCACATCATCTTCACTTATAGGGGTAGCACTGTAACTGATGAAGGAGAGAAGATCCCTGGTGACACTTCTTCATCACCTAGAAACCCTTTTCCATGTACCAGAAGTGAGTTATGTACAGGTATTATGGTTGATGAAGTTGAGCTGGATTAGAATGTGGGGAACAATCACGAGGTTTTCAGTTTCTGGAGAGATTCCTTGTTGATGAACTGAACACCACGTTTGTAATATCCAATCTGTCCGTCAATATTTGCAGTGTCACTTTTTTCTCGGGGCCTGAAAAAAAGGAACACCCTCTTTAAATGTGCATATTCAATCAATGATTTATATGAAAACATAACATTCTCCCGGGGATGGAAATAAACCAAGAACATCTAGGCCGAATAGTGACAACATATAGCAATACCCCCAAAATGTGTGAAATTCTAACGGCCCTTCGGATACCTTTAACCTTAACAAAACAGACCAGCCCTGTCTTCACTGAAATTGTTTGAGTGCATTGTTGAGTTCAACACAGGAGGAGCATTAGAGCAAGTTAGTGTTGGAGGGATGAATGAGTGAGGTGGTGGATTTAAACAGATTCTTATGATCAGTATGAGGACTACTGTCGGCTTGATGTTGGAGGAAGGTGATGCAGGTTTTCAGATGACTTCGGAGCGCTGACAAAGAATCCTGATTGGAGGAATCTAAAGAATCCTGATTGGAGGAATCTAAAGAATCCTGATTGGAGGAATCTAAAGAATCAAGATTGGAGGAATCTAAAGAATCATGATTGGAGGAATCTAGGCTTGGAACTTACAATCAGCGGATCCTGACTAAGCTATGGCACCATGGAGGGCTTCTTGATGACTGAGCGAGTGCCTAGTATTGTTTGTTTGTTTGTCTGTTCTAAATGCAGCACTAAGCAATATTCTAGCTTTATGATGGCAGTCTGTCAATAATCGAGTCTGGACCAGACAATCCAGTGATTGACATCATGAGCATTGACCTACGCAATGACATGCATCATCCCATGGGATGCTGAAGACCTATTCTCTACCCGGAACTTCATGGGTCCAGTATTCAGTCCTAAGTCAGAAAGATATTCCCAACCTGCTCACATCACCTCATGAAAGAGGTACTGAAATTGGACCACACGCACAAACCAGCATGGTATGGTGAGGTGAGGTGAGGTGAGGTGAGGTGAGGTGAAATGGGGCCTTGCGTTTAAGATTATTGCACTTATAAAATGTTGTGTGTGTGTGCTTTTACTTGTCTGGATTTACGCCGAGTTTATAGTACTAACCCTCTGAGATACCATACCAGTTTAATATGGATACCTCACACAGACACAGTATACTGACTCTGAGCGAATCAGTTTATGTTTTATCCCCTTTATGACGAGCACCAGGCAGGGTAACAACAAGTACCATCTTTAATTTAAGGTTCTGTCTATGACACACTCTCAAACATCACACAAGTTAGGTGCTAAAGGTGCACGCCATGAGCACGAAATACAGTAGAAAACATTATACATCATTTTTGACCACACAAAAACTTTTATCAGGATTTTTGTACCGTTTCTGTGACTTTAGTTTGGGTAGTTTCTCTCCAGGCACTTGCTCCTGTGGAAGAAAAGAAAGATATGAGTGCAATTGGAAGAAGCTTGCTATGTTTTGAAATGTGACAATTGTTACACAGGTTGTACAGACTGTACACCCATTTCATCTACCTCTACATCTCTACCCTTAACATTTCCCATCTACCACTTCCATATCTACCTACACCCCATCTACCCCTAACAAATCTTCCTATATCATGTATATCCCATCTACCCCTAACAAATCTTCCTATATCATGTATATCCCATCTACCCCTAACAAATCTTCCTATATCATGTATATCCCATCTACCCCTAACAAATCTTCCTATATCATGTATATCCCATCTACCCCTAACAAATCTTCCTATATCATGTATATCCCATCTACCCCTAACAAATCTTCCTATATCATGTATATCCCATCTACCCCTAACAAATCTTCCTATATCATGTATATCCCATCTACCCCTAACAAATCTTCCTATATCATGTATATCCCATCTACCCCTAACAAATCTTCCTATATCATGTATATCCCATCTACCCCTAACAAATCTTCCTATATCATGTATATCCCATCTACCCCTAACAAATCTTCCTATATCATGTATATCCCATCTACCCCTAACAAATCTTCCTATATCATGTATATACCATCTACCCCTAACAAATCTTCCTATATCATGTATATCCCATCTACCCCTAACACAAAGCATTACCATGTCTAACCTACCACACCTTCCCCTTTTACATCTACCAACTGCATCAACGTCTGCAACATCTACCCTAACCCCACTAACGACATATACCCTGATCTCACCATTTCGACATTAACCCTGACAGTTGGAACTGAATCTATACTATCCACATCAACATCAGCCACAACTATACTTACTGCATCCACCCCTATTGTTTCAATATCTACCTAAGTACTCTACTGCATCTAACCTAAGCACACAGCCGACGCCAATTCCATCCTATCTACCACTGCCACATCCACCCCACTTATCTCTAACACAGCCACCCATCTACCCCATCAACCTCTGCAATAGCCACCCTTCTATCCCATCAACCTCTGCAATAGCCACCCCATTTACTTCCACCCAAACCACCCTTCTACACCATCTACCCCTGCCACATCCACCCTTCTAACCCATCAACCTCTGCAATAGCCACCCTTCTATCCCATCAACCTCTGCAATAGCCACCCCATTTACTTCCACCCAAACCACCCTTCTACACCATCTACCCCTGCCATATCCACCCTTCTACCCCATCAACCTCTGCAATAGCCACTCCATTTACTTCCACCCAAACCACCCTTCTACACCATCTACCCCTGCCACATCCACCCTTCTACCCCATCAACCTCTGCAATAGCCACTCCATTTACTTCCACCCAAACCACCCTTCTACCCCATCAACCTCTGCAATAGCCATCCTTCTATCCCATCAACCTCTGCAATAGCCACCCCATTTACTTCCACCCAAACCACCCTTCTACACCATCTACCCCTGCCACATCCACCCTTCTACCCCATCAACCTCTGCAATAGCCACTCCATTTACTTCCACCCAAACCACCCTTCTACACCATCT